GAAGCTTCAAGCGGCAGTCGGAAAGAAATTCCCCAACGCTACTGTTGGTCAGGTATTTTTGTGGGGCCAATTGTTAATATTTATAAATTTATAAAATAATTCTTTTTGGCCTGAAGTTTTTAGTTGTATAGGAGGGAAAATTCAACTTATTCGAATATACTTGAAAATTCAAATTTTATATTTTAAATAAAAAAATGTGAAATTTTATAATATAACTATATTCTAAGGCTATCTCCCATCCTTATCTTTACTCTAACACCGATTTTACTCTACTCTAGAGCAGAGTGAAATATTTGTCTCCACCTTTTACCTCTATATTTTACTCTACATCAAATATATTATTTTTTTCTCATTATATTTCAAATAAATTGGTATATATATTTATACTTAATATTTATATAAATACTTATTACCCAAATAATAAAAATGTATTTTACTATTTTTATTTCAAATGAATTGGTATATATATGTAAATTTAATATTATTGAAATCTACATGTTTTTTGTTAAATTTTTATTCATAGAGTACGATTTTAATATTAAAAAATTTAAAAATAAAATTATAATACATTAATAAAAAAAGCACAAAATTATTTAGCACAAAAAATACAACAAAGTTATTTAACACAAAAAATACATTTACTAACACATATTGTCCAAAAATTTACCAATATATTACACACCAAACAAAACCAAAAAAAAAAGGAAATTGCAGCGTTCTGCAACAGTGTTGCGCCAAATATGGCGGCGCAACACTATTCACAACTTTCAACTGGCGCAAAAATCTGGCGCGGCATTGGACTAAATTTTTTCGTTAAAATAGCGCAACTCTTGAGATACATAGTCACCCTGAAGTTGGTCTAAATGCTATTTTCGCATTGTGTTTTTTCATAAAAGCACTGATTGTGTCACCTTATTTTACCAGAGAATAACAAAACTTTGTACCGAAAAAAAAATTAAAAAAATACAAAAGCATTTCAAACCTTTTTCCTTTTTATTTTGAACATATCATTTCCTATTTTTATTCAGGGCTATGGGATGACAGAAACCGGCGTAATATCACTATGCCCAGGATTTGCGAAAAACCCAACCGTCTATAAACCCGGTTCATGTGGAGCTATAATCAGAAATATGGAGCTCAAAATTGTGGATCCTTTGACCGGTGCCTCTCTTTCCAGGAGCCACGTCGGCGAGATTTGCGTCAGAGGAAATTCTGTCATGAAAGGTACAAGTACTAGACTACTAGTACTCTATCAATTTAATTTAATTTAATTTATAATTTGTCCAATTTATAGACTGTTTAGAGTATATAATATAATTGCAAAATTTCTAGATTAAGTATTTTTTGCTGTCCTAGACTTAAATGTATATCTAGACTACATAATTATCCCAATTTAATTGGTGAGTTACAATGACTATCATACTTTAAAAAATTAGAAATTCATTAACTAATAAAAATGTTATTTTTTTTTTTTTATTTAGCTTCAGGCCATAAACTTAGGTTTATCAAAATGAGTGAATTTTACGCTATGTTTGATTGCTTTATGGATGTAAAAAAAAAAAAAAGGGTACTATAATGACGTGGAGGCGACCAAGAGAACAATCGATGGTGAAGGATGGCTACACACCGGCGACCTTGGATATGTGGACGGTGACGATGAACTATTCATCGTGGACAGGTTGAAGGAACTCATAAAGTACAAAGGGTTCCACATTGCACCTGCTGAGATAGAAGCTTTGCTAATTCGTCATCCCTCCATATCAGACGCTGCCGTTTTGCCGTAAGTTATTTCCAATTTTCACCATCTCGCGCGTCTTTGAAAAATTAAGTAAATGCATATGAAATTCCTGCAAAGGTATAATTCTTTTTTTTTTTCTTTTTACAAATTATTGTGCGGGTAACCTGATCGTTAGACGAGTGGACTTATCATATTATTTTAATAAAAAATGCATGCCGATACGACAAAATGTCCTAATTTTATATATTGTTTTAGAATATGATATTATATTTTGAAAGTATGCAAATTAGTTTGTTGGACAATATGATTACCGAACAATCAAAGCCTTCTTACGGTAACATTAATATTTTTAATTTAGGATATTAATATAGGTTGTGCGTTTATACATTTTATTAATCCTCTCAAATAAATAATAAGATTTTATAAAAAAATTATAATAAGTTGAAATAAATATTGCAGTAAGAAGGATGATAGAGCAGGAGAAGTTCCAGTTGCATTTGTGGTGCGAACAATTGGTTCTAACAACATCACGGAGCACGAAATCAAGCAATATATCTCAAACCAGGTATTGTCATGGTCATGGTCATGGATATATATAAGTTGACTATATCCAAATTTTCCTACAAAATATAATCTCCTAAAGTCTTAAACCGAGCTGAGCTGAGCTCGAGCTTTAGTTAAGACTCTAAGTTCATATCGTCAATATTAATTACAAATGAGTCGAGCTTAAGTTTCTTAGCTAAGAGTTTCGCTCGATAAAGGCTCGAGCTTGAGCTCGTGCATCCGAAAGCTCGAGTTTCCCCAGGCTCGTTTACACCTTTAGCCTTAATGAATCGAATTCGCGTACGACTCGTTTCATTTAACTAATAGCTCTAGATTCCTACAGGTGGTGCCTTACAAGCGGATACATCGTGTATTTTTCATAGATGAGATTCCTAAAGCTCCATCAGGTAAAATATTGAGGAAGAATTTGCGGGCAAGGATTTAAATTGACATCAGAGGAATGAAGTATGATAATAATCTTAAAAATGTCCAGACTTCACGTCAATAAAGCAATGTGGATTTTGGTATTTATTTTAAATTTGAATATTATTACTTATTGTACTTTTCTGTTTTTACATGAGCTTATTTTTAATAAAATACATAGTTTTCACGGAAAATTTATTTAGAACCATTTCATTAGATTTTTTTTTTTTTT